TATGGGTCGGCCAGCCGGGCTGTGGATGTGCATGTGCAGTGTAAGGCACTAGGGGGCGCTGTGCTGCACAAAGGGGCCTTAGTGGAGGATACTAGGCTGCAGGGGGAGGTGGTCAGTAGGGGGCGCTGTGCTGCAGGGGGTTGGCGGGGGTTCAGTAGGGGACACTGGGGTGCAGGAGGCGGGCAGGGGAACCATAGGGGGTCCTGGGCTGCGGGGAGGGGCGGGGGGTTATTGGAGGGTGCTGGGGTGCGGATCAGGGGTTCTGTGTGAGGCTCTCTCCAATCTAATATGTTGCTGTGGGTATTTCAGCTCCAGTGAGGACTCTGCAAATCACCATCTCCAGAGCTAACAGGAGTGACCCCCAGCTATTCCAAGGTATCGCTAGGGGGTGGGGAGTGGGGCACGGGGCCTTTCCCCTCTAGGGGGGCCGGCCCTGATCAGGCCTCCAGGCAGGGACTGGTTGGCTCAGGCTGCGTGTGGCTCTGTGTTATTTCTATTCCCAGATCCCGGCACCCCGGTGGGGAACGGGTCACAGATCACGGCCCAGGAGGGCGACTCCCTGCGGTTCCTCTGCTCCATCTCCAGCAGCCTCCCTGCCACGCTGGCCTGGGTGAGGGGGGGCCGAGCCATCGAGGGCACCCGCCCCGCGGGGGAAAATCAGCTGCGACTGGAGCTGCCCAACATCACAGCCGAGGACGGGGGGCTGTACGGGTGCTGGGCCCAGAGAGAGAAGATCTCTGCCCAGGGGACGTTCCAGCTGCTCATCGAGTGTGAGTGGGGTTAAACCCCGGGACGCTGACCCTGGAAAGTAGCAGTGTTAATCCATGGGAATCCTTGCCACTGAGTTCTAGCAGGTGTCACAGGTGCCTGGCCCCTTTAAACGGAGACAGAGACAACCCCACACCCCAGCCTGTGCCATAGTTAATTAGCTGCTTCGAGGGCAGCCCCAAGGGGGGCAACTGAGGCTTGAACAGATTCCTGGGTTGTCTACAAGGGCCATGAGTGCCCAGGCTGAGGGCACAGAAGCAGGTGGGTTGGTGTGAAGCGCAACTGACTAAGGATGGGGCCAGGTCAGTGTCTGGGGGCCAGCTGAAGAGACACCCCAGGGCAGAAGAACCTGTGGGAATCCCCTACTGGGTACTAGCAGGTTAATCTATGGGACTCCCTTCCCCTGGGTATTAGTATGGTTAACCTGTGGGACTCCCTGCCTTGGGTTTCTCTCTCTGACTATTAATTTGTTGCTGTGTGTCCTGCGCTCCCCAGACAGCCCCTAGCTGGGGACTGCGCTGAAGACGTCCTGCCAGCACCAGGGGCCCAGCATCAGCTGCAGTTGCCCCCTGCGCTCCCAACCCCCACCTTGGCTCCAATGGCAGGTGGACGGGGAGCCCGTGGCTGGGAACGGCTCTCGGGGGGCCCTGCAGGTCAGCTCGTGGGCCCAGGGGGATGAGGCTGTCAGCGCCCTGAGTTGGACGGGAAGTGGGGACTGGGACCGGGATCTTCTGCCTCCGCTCCAACATCCACAGGATGTACGCTGTACTGCTGAGCCCACCGGAAACATGTTTGAGCGCTTCCCCACTAGGGGATGTGAGCTCTGATCTTGCCCCAGGGAGGGGATTGACTGGCTTTTGTGGGGAGGTGGGCGGACATTGGGCCACAGGACCTTTCCCCCTCCAGGAATCACTGGCTCCAACCTGGCCCCAGGGCAGGGGCTGTCTGGCTTAGACAGGGGTTGCAGGGATCTATCCCAGACTCTCGGCTTCTTCCAGCTCCCACAGGTGGCCTCACTTGGGTGTTTATCGAAATCAGCTGCAAACTCGTGTTCATGGCAACTGGATTCATCCTGGCCTATTACCTCACCCTGCTCTATTACAGACGGTAACTCAGCTACTAACCCACCTACTGATCTGCCCACCTATGTACCTACCTACTCATATACCTACCCACCGTTCTACCCACCTATGTACCCACCTAGCTACCAACCCACTGACCGACCCATCTACCCATCTACCACGTTGCCTAGATACCTACCTACAACTTAGCATCCTACACACCTACCCCCTACCATCCAACCCACCCACCTACCTATGAACCCATTGATGCACCCATCTTCCTACCACCCAACCTAGTTCCCAACCCATTGACCAACCACCCACTGACGTACCCACCCACTGACCTACCCACCCACCCATCTACCCACCTACCCATAAACTTTCACACATATCTGCCCACCTACCTCCCCACCAACTTACTGTCTACTCACCTACCCAACTATGTACCTACCCACCCATCTATCTATCTATCCAGACTGCAACTCACTTATATACCCAGAATCTCTCTCTCCCAGGACACCCTGCTGCTATCGTGGAAGCAGAAGGAAGGACAGGCCGGGGGCCAGGGAATCCACTGTGCCAGAATCCGGTTTGTAGATCGGGACGTTCCTCAGCCACCGAAGAGCTGACAAGGAACTGGAATCTCAGAGGACTTAGGAAACAGAGAATGAGACCTCAGCTGGGGGAACTGCCACCCTGGGAGAAGCCAACAGGCCCATCTAGTCTGATATCCTGCCCCCTCAGACTCATGCACGTGGGAAGCACATGGAAGCTGCTTGTAATGTTTATATGACCAGTAGATGATCTGTTTGTTGCCTTGATGATTATGACTTTGTTTGCTCTGTGATGACCGCCAGGCAGCCAGATACCCCAGTGACAATCACAGTATGAGACCCTCTAGAGAACAGAGCAGACCAGCTGATCCTAGTTACTGATCCCTGCTAGCCGACGCCCAACCCAGCGGCTCGAACAGCCGCTCCCAGGCAGTGCGGGGAGAAAGTTTCACCAACAAACTTTTTTTGGGTGCAAAATGCAAATTCGGCAACACCAAACTTTGTGTAAATCTGGGACGATTTTGCCAATTTGTCTGTTTGGGGGGGGAAACCTCCCAAAATTCCCCAAAATTGAAAGATTTCATTTAGACATTTTCAAAAAGAAACATTTCACTTTCTCAATTCAAACACACTGTATGGTTTGAAATTTCCTGTAATTTTACTTTGTGGTTAAAAAAGTCTAAAATGCTGGAAATTGAAACAAAAGGTTTCATCCTCAAACCAAATCTATTTCTGACCTTCTGATTCGCAGAAAATTTTGACCAATTTCCATTTTTGGTTTTACATGAAAAGATTTTTTCCTGCTGACTTTGGGTTCCCTCAAAATTTATCAGATTATGCTTTCAGATTGACTCCAAAGTATTTTTTTTTCAAATGTTTGGTTCACCAAAAAATTCAACAATTTTTCTTTTTGTTTCTACCTAAACAGTTTTCGGTTTGCTAAAAATTGTG